GGCAATTGACTAAAATCACCGCACCTACGGAGATAAACAGCATATAAAACCATCTGTTTAGTATAATGTAATAGTGTTATTGACCCGGCTGACCTCCACGAGACACTTGGAGCACACAAACAAACACAAGCGCCAAAATCAGGGTAGCTCCTACCTGTATAAAGATACACGACATTATGTACAAGGCGTTGCCGCTGTTAACGGCAGGAAATGCTTGCGAAAACTTTTCATTGTTTTTTCGGGGGGCGAAATCAACGCCTATTTACTATTGAAGTTTTCACCTGGTTCGAGAGCTCGAACGGCGACAAGTGAGGCCGCCACAGTTGGTTTTGCGTGCTGACTCAGACTGGAACCCATGCTTGGGACGTGATTGCTGCTTGGGCGCACACATCAACGCCGTATCGTCGGGCACCGCATTGCACAATCTTTAATGCATTATTTCGAGTGCAATTTGGTCATCGCCGCGGAAGCAAAGGACGTGATCTCTCTCAATATGCTTTGGCAAGTATGTTCCATCGGCCTAGAGACGTTGCAGTGTGCGATGCGGTGCCACACGAAGAGCCCTCTATTTACTACAGTATTTACAATGACACACTATTAGTGGTTTTTGTAAAATAGTGGTGACAAAGCGATTTGATTGGTGGTTGATGCATATTTTTGGCCAATCACAGATGATAGAGTTCGTGGGGCGCCGTGCTAGGGGCCGAGTTGCGCGCAGTATGTTTGAAAATGAAGTCGCTCATATTTGGCAGGTATATAGAAGACACTTTGTAGAGGAGAGCGTGCTATGCCACGTCGCCGTTGGCGGCCTACAACCCGCCATATTCTCAATCGAATAAAAAGAGCACTGCTATTTAACTTGTTTCAAACATTAAATAACAAATCGCCACGTCGAGCACGGTTGCTGCGCCATAGCTTTGCACCAGGATTGTTTGCGACGCACTACCAGTACACCAGTGTCACTATGTTGCTCGTGCGAAGGATACGCGACGTATGAGTGGTGCTCATGAAGTTGTTTCTGGTGCATTCGAAAACACACGCCCCATACGGCGCACAACATTGCAAATCGACGCATTCATTCAGCAATTGGTTATGGTACCGCCCATTGATCTGTACTAGTACCCGGAATGCCTCACTCTGAGTCGTGGCTGGGACTGCGCGCAGTCACGGTGCCTGCCGAAACCCTTCGAGTACTGACAAACTATCGCTAGCAGTGGGCCACACAAGTCCAACCTTGACGACTCGAGTTAATGACGTCAATTTCTTTTTATGAAGAGTATCAACCATCTACTAGTACCATAAACCTCTCGGAACGATCAGCTACGCGACGGAGCTCCGGGCAATAACCTGTAGCACACCACAGTTCGCATCGTAACCTAGTGATTAGGGTTTCAAAGTGCTAACCGATGCTTCGTGACGGGGTCGAAAAATGCGGCGTGACGGTCAGTTGAGGACGACTGTTGATCGTATCTACTGCGTCGAGACCGTACACGCCCTCGATGCAGTCATCTTGAACTTCGAGGAAGAGCGATTGCAGTGCCATTGTCGCGGTCGCGTCGTCAGACGTCGCCGAAATCACAACCGTGTGCATGTCGGCCATCACCGCGTGCATTTCGACAAGGACGGACTGTTTGTATTGGTCGTCGAAGAACAAGCGGCTTGGGTCCACCGACATAGAGTGTTTGGGCAGCACCACCACTGGAATTGTCGCTGCGGAAGGCACTGGCGCGACCAGCGGTTTGGCGGGTTGTAGCTGATCCCAGAACGAGTCGACAACGCTGGCGCGGCGCGCCAGAGGTAAAACTGGCATGACGTCCTCGACCACAGCCGAGCGGCTGCTGATCACCGCTTGCGACGACTGGCCTGTCGGTGCCTGCGAGGTACAGCACGGGGATATCTCGGGGGACACGGGCCGTTCGAGGCGTGGATCGACAGTCGTGGTGAGCGGCATTTGCGACTCAATGTCGCACACATTCTCTGTCTCTTCGTGAACGACGCGTGCTTTGGTCAGTGCTCGAGGCGTTGGCTCTTGATTCGTCGGTGCTTCATCCTCTATATCTTTGGGTGTGGAGGGATCTGTGCCCGGCGGACTCAACGGAGCAAGCTCTGGCACCATAGCTTCCATGGACGCCAAGAGCTGTTGCAAAGACGCCGACGACGCGAGTGTCACCGTCGTCGAGGGCTGGGACGGTACGGTGAGTAGCTGATTGTACCGATCGTAGCACTTTGTGCAGACAAGCACGCGGTTGTAGAGTTGGTTGCGGACACGGCGCGACCAGGACTGCGCATACACCTCGTACGCCGCGGCCACATTCGGCAACTCGGAGTTTTGCGTCAAAAAATTGCCTCGTAAAAGGTCCTACACCATCCAACGTCAGTATTATACGCTCCGTCGTACCGTACCTTGTACAGCAGTGGCTGCTTGGCCATCTCTCGGGGCGTCGCATTCTCTTTGCAAAACTGGCCCGCGCACTTGGGCGTCGTGGCCGGCTTTTCCGGCTCGGCGCGCGCCTCGACGTCGGCGGCGCGGAATGCTTTGACTTGCAAGCACCACCATCGACCTTCGTCGTCCTGCGCAAAGTCCGCCACGAGCGCCGTGAATCGAATCTACGCACCGCACCATTTTCACAAAAGCGTTGTCGCATCGACAAGACGCACCGAGGTCGCGGCCATCATGGCGGTCACAAGGACTTGAGTCTGTGCGCGTGGCGTTGCCCACGACGTCCTATGCTTCACGTCCAGCTTCCACGTGCAAGTCTCAGCGACGTACGGTGCGGTGGCCTTGTCGACGCGGCACGCTTGCGCATCGGTCGTGTCGACCACCGGGTGCGCCGTGTCGGTGAAGACCCAAACGACGCTCTGCTTGGGTCGAGTGGGTACAAATGCACAGCGCACGAGCAGCGACGACTGGACGCGGTTGGGCTTAGCTGCAATAAACTCTTGGAGGCCGACGACGCCAGAGGTGACGAGGAGGAGGCTGCGGAGCGCGCGGGCAACGTCCTGGCGCGTTTCTAGCAGATCGAGCGTGTTCGATTTTGTCGCCGGGTCGTACGTCTTGACGGCAGCGCAAATGGCTTGCTGTCGGCGCGTAAAGAGCCGGAGGAGGCGCGGTGCGTCGGCCTCAACGTCGGCTTTGGACGCATATTCACGCGTGCAGATGCGCTGGTCCGCATTCGAGTACACGAGGCGGTACGTGCCAGATTCCTCGCGCACCAACGTTGCGGGCAATAATATATCATCCGAGTTTGCAAGCGCCCCCAGCGCCTTTGTGAAGAGCAACCCTGGCCCTAAGCCAAGGCGACTGGGATAGCTGAATGAGCGGTAGCTCGCTTCGGCCACAAGCGCCGCAAATCGCTGGCGCTGGATCGTCTCGATGGATGGCAACGAGGTCACTGGACGTTTTGGCTTGGCGCTACGTGGACTACTTGATCTTGATGATTGACGAAACCTTGCTCGTACCTCAGTTGCTTCTCTGCGTGGACAGTGGCTGCGGTTGGCTCTGACGCGCTGTGACCCAGGAGTGGCCTCAAAAGCCGCGCAGTGCGCTTCCGCGGCTTGCGGCCTTGGGGGCTTCTACGACGCCACTGATAGGTAGAAGATGTGTACGCAAGGAACGAGTACGTACAAAGCAAAGGTCGAGGTCAGCCACGAGTCAAACTTTTCGTGCAGCGGGTTCAATAGTGGCGGCGACTCGAGCCGGACGTCTTTGCCACGGGCCTCCGGGAGCATGCTTCTCGCTACGCGCTATTTTTACGCGCTGACGATCTTGACGAAGGTTTTTGTCTCCCACTACATGTCTTATTTCTTAGTGACGACAGTCCAACGACAAAACTTGTTGTACGAAAGAAAGGAGTTGGGTATCGAACGACGTACAGATTTTATGATTTTATCTGGTGCGTCCACAGGAAGGACATGGCGCGGATACGGTGCTGTCGCGTCGCCAAATTCCATCCCAAAATACGACTTTTCCTTGAAACGCCGCGTTGGCGGAGATGGGCGGCGTTGACAAGCATCGGCCGTCGACCGAGACGGGTCTGACGCCCGTTTTGCCGCACTTGACTTCGATGCGGCGCATCTCTAGCAAGCAACTGTCTCGAAAAAGCGTGGCTGGCGACCACCGACGGCGCATTGAGTCGGTCAAGCCCGAGCCGCGCAATGAAGCGCTTGAGGCGCTCAAGGTCGCTCTCACGGACGACCCGAGCACCCGTAGCGATGCCGATATCCTTTTCGATCGCTCTGACTGCTGTCTTTCTCTGACAATGTGTCCTTGACCAAGTGCTACCGCTCTCGCTCATCTACGAGTGGATGAAGAAGCATTGTACGAACGTACGTCGTTCAAGTGCGAACTGGGGCGCACGCATTTCGATAGACCAACATCTTTGCGTCGTCGCACGAGTACGTGTGCCGCGAGATCTGCCGCCACATGCGCCTCATCAAACTGCCAAGTCGGTCCCGACGACGCTCGACCGTCTGTTATAAGCGTTGGGTAGGCCACGCGATGTTGATTCGACAAGGCGACACGGGCGATCGGTGTTATATCATCATCGACGGGACGCTCGACGTGTTCATTCGCCAAGACGCCGCGTTCCAAGGCTTTAGCGACCAAGCCGAGACCATGTACCGTCTGGTACGCGTGTGATGGCGTGGAGAACGATTCAACAATGGCACAGGCGCCAGCAAGTCTGAATGTCGGTAAATTCATGACAGCCTTGACACCCGGCTCGATCGTTGGCGAAGTTGTCCTGAGTACGTCCATTATGTCGATATCGCCAAGCTCATGGTCGTAGCGAATCCGAGTGTACGCCGAACGGCGACCGTCGTTGTCTCCAAGGACACGGCCGAGTGCTGCGTTATTTTCCTCGGGCGTGTCGACTATATTCGCTTGATCCGCAACGTCTCGATGGAAGCGTCGCACTTCGTGCAAGCCGAGATTCTCGACTTTATGGTGCTCTTTCAGAAATGGCCCAAACCTGGTATGTATGGTGTCCCAATATCACGTGGCACGACGAGATCGCGTAGAGAAGATGAAGTACGTGGCCCAGATGAAGTCGGTGCACTTTCGAGCCAACGTACACTGAAGCGCGCCATTTTTGTCGCTGAATCAAGGTTACATATCATAGGACTATCTGTACAAATCCGGCACGACGACCAAGGTCATGTACATAATTGTGCTTGGCGAGGCGCTAGAAAAGTACAATCTGAACGCGGTGCACACATCGGGCGGCCAAGTCGCGACCAAGTCGGAGGTCAAAATCAACATTGAGCTGCTTTTGCTTGGCCCGGGCGAAATTGCCAGTTTGCACTTTCCAAAAACAAGGTCAGATCTTATTCGTGGTGTAGACGAGTTTGCGTTTTTCAAGCCGTCGATGGTCGGTCACTTTGACATCAAAGCGGGTAAGCATTGTACATCACAGCACACCCAATGCAACCATCCTAGTCACGGATGTGCATGCCCTGGCCATCGACGTATGGCAGCACTGCCTTAATTTTCGGAAAAAGGACATGATTTCCCGTAGAAACATCTCTACGAGGCCATGATGACGCCGACCGAGTACGCCCAGGACCTGCAAGCCAAGCTCACGTCCATGTCCAACGACCGCGACGACTGGCGCAAAGAGCGCATTGAGTTTGGCTCGCGGTACCCAGACGCCCATATCGCCATGTACGCATACAGCGAGCGCCGAATCGTTTCAAAGTCTTCTTTGTAGGACATGGAATCTCATGCGGATGGGCAACCTGCGGTGCAGCCGCTGCGGCCGACGCGGTCATTTGCCCAGTGACCTCGGGCGGTGTCACCACTCCAAGAAAAATGACTGGCCGTCCGTGCAGCAGCGGCTCGAGAAGCAGCTCAACCCGCCGCCGCCGCAGCGAACGACGCGGACGTCCGACAGTCCGCGCGTCAAACGGTACCCGACTTTCGTCGTGCCTCTATATGCTGCGTGTCTTTAGCCGATCGATCCATTCGAACATTATGGCCCGGGACCTGCACCGCGACACGTTGGACGAGAGCAGCCTCCCGACGGCAAAGGAGCAGCTCGCCGTGTCTTGGCGCTTGCGCCTGCTCGTGTTTCCCAAGCACGTCGAGGCGACAGCGCAAGAAGAGCCACCCACCGCGCCCCATACAACTTGAGATAAGCACAAATGACGAGCGACTCAAGGTATTCCTAAAAGGACTTATATTTCGTCGTGAGGACGCGCCTCGTACTGCCCATCGAGCGCCGCAATCGCATCGCGGTCTGCAGCATCAAGGAGCGAAGCCACGTAGTGCGGCTCGAGCAAGCGTGCGTTGGCCTGGACGTGGGCCAACTTGGTGCTGCGCGGAATCATGGCCACGCCTCGCTGCAGAAAGTAACTCAGGACCACGGAGGCGACCGAGGTCGCGTGCTTGGCAGCGATGGCTTGGAGCACGGGCGACGACCACACGGGGTTAGTTGGCCACTGTGTGCCCAAGGACGAATAGCCGACGACGACGCCGCCGTGGCCAATCACAAAGGCGCGATCGCCCCTCGCTTGATGGAACGGGTCGACCCACATTTGAACTACATGCGGTGGCGTCGTCGCCATCACCCACAGCTCGTGGAGCTGCGTGGCGTCAAAGTTGGAGGCGCCGAGCGCGCGGATCTTGCCGTCGTCGTAGAGCCGCTCGAGCGCCCGCCAGGCGGGGCGCCAGTCACCGACGGGCTGACCGCGGCAGTCGGGAATATGGTCGCCACACGCGGGGTAGTGCAGGTAGACCAAGTCGATTGCATCAGTGTCCCAATCGAGGTGCCACGAGACAAACATCTCGCGCACGGCGACCTCGACTTGCCCGAGGAACGCCGGGTGCACCTTGGACGCAATGAAAAAATCGCGCCGCGACAGCGACGGCGTCGACTGCAATATCGCCGCGAGTGCATTGCCGGCTGCCACGTCATCGTACCATTCTTTGGCCTGCGCGCCGTCGAGCGCGCGAAACCCCGCAGCGACATGGAGCTGCACCGCAGTCGCCGTCACGTCGCCCTTCATGCCTGCGAGCCCTTGGCCGACCCACGGCATCGACACGCCGTTGGAGAGGCGAACGTTGCGAGCGTCCGTCGCACAGGTTCTGTCGCCCACAGCGCACGTCGAGGTGCCAGCAATTAGCGAAGCGGCCAGCGCGAGCACGAGCAGCCAAAGCATCTTCTCTATTCGGGCTTCACACGGCCGCGTATCCGGAGCGTAAATCATAACCGGATGATTGACAGTTACCAAGCGTCCATCAAAGAACCACTCGTAGCGTATTCGCGTGCCAGCTCATGACGTCTGGGTTCGCCCAGAAAGACGCCCGGTCGATTGAGCACTACTAGTACCAGCTAGCACTGCCTTTGTTGTCGCCCGCATCAGAACCATGCCATCTTCTCTCAACCTGCTTCAAGCAGAGGCTCATTCGCGCGGTATACTTCCGCGCACCGTGGAGCTCGGCTATCACAAAGATCGTGCGACGAAGCAGAGAATGCAGCTGCTTGGTTGAAGCGCGCGCCGGCGTGGCTACCATAGTGCGCAAGCTTGCTAATGACGTTTGGAGCTTGGCGCCAACGCCCGCGAGCGGGTACCCAATATACATGAATATTAGTTTTGATACGATTTCCAAGCATGATGATGCTACGCATCATGCGTGGCATTCGTTGAGAGGACGCGCCAACTCTTGCGGTGCCAAACGCCACGTCGGCGACGATTTACGGCAATTCGACCGCGTATCCGGATATACTCATTAGAAAGGCTACAAACACGCACCTTTCTATAGTTTGCATCCCTCCAATCTTTGTCGATAGGACGTAGAATGGCGTTCAATTAGCCAATCGTATCGTCGGACAGCGATCTTGCAGTTGGCACCAGCTGGCTGTTGACGCAGCAAGACCGCAGCCAGCAAGATATGTCCATTCGCCGATTGCCAGCATGCTGTTCAGCGCGCTCTCGTCATTGCTCTCGAAGGCCTCGAAGCTCGATGTGCTCGGGCGTCTCGCGCTCTTCTATCTCGTGCTCAAGCTTCTCAAGGCGCTCAAGGCCATGTCCAGCGCCAAGCACCTCCTGCCGCGCACGGAGCTCGCTCTCGGGGCCGTCGATCCGCATCCGCACGCGCATGCGTACTACCGCCACTTCCAGCCGTCGGCTGACAAGAACCTCTGGCTCTACTCCACGTGGTGGCTACCCGCGGCCAACGTCAAGGCGTGGAAGGGCGTCATCTTCCTCGTCCACGGCTTCAACGACCACATTAGCCGCTACGAGCACGTCGGGCGCTTCCTCGCAGCGCACGGGTATGCTGTCTTTGGCATGGACCACCAGGTAGATGTCTATCATTGTGATGCTGCCTGCACTGACGCCATGTGCAGGGCCATGGACTGAGCGAAGGCGAGCCGCTGTACGTCGAGCGCTTCACCGACTACATTGCCGACTACCGCCAGTTTATGCACCACGTGCTCAGTCTTTCGAGCGACTCGCCGTACGCGCTGCAAACCGACATGCACATCCCCAAGGGCACCGAGCTCAAGAGCCTGCCGCGCTTCGTCCTCGGTCACTCGATGGGCGTTGTCATCACCGTGCTCACGGTGCAAAAATCACCGGAGATTGACTGGACCGGCGTGATCCTCTCGGCCGGGGCCGTCAAGGTCGACCCGGTCACCGCGCCGTGGCATCTGCGCTTCCTCGCGAGCGTGCTCTCGAGCGTCGTGCCCAAGCTGCGCTTCCCGGACGAAGGCTTCCCGCACCTCTCCAACAACCCGCTCATCTACCAGCGCGCGCTCCGGGACCCGCTCTGCCACAAGCTCGGCATGACGCCGCGTTGGGCGCACGAGTTCTTCACGTCGTGCGACCTCGCGCTCGCGGAAGCGCCCAAGTTCAAGCACGACGTGTTGCTCTTCCACGGCGACAAGGACGTGATTGCGTTCCCGTCGGGGTCCCAGGAGTTTTACGACAAGGCGGCGAGTACCAACAAGACGCTGCACATGCTCGAGGGCCGCGAGCATGAGCTCTTGAACGAAGACGACCACGAAGACATGCTTCGGACGATCGTCGATTGGTGTGCGAAGCAAGCGCGTGAGAAGGCAGCGACAGGGCTCGTCGACGTGGCGGCATAAGATATGGGCAGATACATCGTGCAGAATCTAGTACATGTACGAATGGGCTTTAGTCGCGTGTTGAAGCGTTGCTTCGAGACGCGTGAGCTGCGCGTCGACACAGCTATCATGGCGCTTCATCCATTCCGGCGACCTAGAAGGTGGTATATGGTGACAACGGTCGTTGGACGTGGATGGTAGTATGGAGAACCCGGAAATGTGGTCGCTGAGGCAGTCGCGGCGGGGCAGGCTGGCAGGTAGCGAAGGTCCATACAGGATGGCCTAGAGGTTGGACGGGATGCACCGGGTGCGAGCTACGGGTGAGTGGATGCAATACCTCAGTCTTGAAGCTAACAACGTTGAAGAGGGCAGGACCACCGTCTTGCTCGAGGACACCGCAGGCGACGCCGAAAGGGCGGATGCTACGGGCAACGTAACTCCATGTACATCGCTTGCATCTCGTACCCATAAACGGAGACGGAGGTTTGCGCTTGCCGCTTGAACGTGAGTCTAGGAGGGCTGAGAGACGGGCGAGGGCAACATGTGGAAGCGCACCGTAGGAAGCACGCGGGCAGGTACCCGAGCTTGATGACGGATTCGCGGTGCAGCGGCAGTCGAACGTCCGTCTTCACTAGAGCAACAAACGGTCCACGCCTGCTCGTCGCATGCAGTACCATTCTACCGGTGATGAAGTCGTCGCGCTTGTTCTCGACGGCGACGCTGACGTCGACGGCATGGGCGTTCTAGCTCGCGAGCGTCTGAGCTCCATGAGGCGTCAAGCAAGGAGCGTACCTTGTTGAGGATGCGTACTTCGGAGAGGAGCGACTTGCTCTGCCTAGGTGACGATGAGCGACGTGAGGTCATCGTCGTCGTCTCGTACAGGGCGAGGACAATGGTCTCATTCGGCTTGGCAAACGACTCCCAGTATGTAGCCCGCGCGTAGTCGAGGACGCTCTCGACCGGATGCTGGAAGGACGAGCCCGATGCTACACATAGACCATGTCTACCTTCCTCTTGATCTCCATGATCGCGTACCCTTCTCGATCGAGTATGGCGCTGGCGGCTCCATCTCGGAACCCCAAATACTGTTGAATTCAAAACGCTTGTCACCTCCGTCACCGTATCCGGACAACATCAATGCGACCCATACAATAAAACTCATTGACATCTCTAAAACTGTATGTCTAAAACTTAGTTTAATAAAATATGGAGGCGTTCCAGCTTTTTTATCCGGAAGATCGGGCTTCCCGCCGACCAAACGTGGCAGCTTTGTAGCTGCTAATTGCTGATCCTTGACGACAAAGGGCGTTGCTGGACATGAGCAAGATAT